AACATTGAGATGTTTTATGACCCAGAAAATTATGGTACTTACAAAAACCTCTCTTTTTTCTTTGCTCTAGTGATGGCAATTTAGCGCCAGGTGGCACTATCATTTGCCCATCTTTTACCAGCAAATCGAAAATTTCATCACATTTGGTGATGTCGAAGGTATATGTTTTCTTTGGGAATCTATCATTCCTTTCTGATTCGACAAAACTCTTCCCCTGTGGGGGAGCTAATACTTTACAAGAATAAGGGGGACCTTATTTAAGTTCAGCGAGGTCTACTTCATTTTCGTAGAGGTTCAAAGAATCCTCGCAGGCCCTTTCGACATTGTCATCAATTTCGACAAAGGCCACTTTCTTACTCTTGTTAAATATGGTTTTCTCGTCTTTCAAACGTTCGAGTTGTCGAACTCTGTCGTCCAATTGAGCCATATCTCTTAAGTATTGGGTGTCTAGCTTCTTTCGAATAGAATAATCAAGGCCTCCAACGGCCATTTCGACCAGTTCGTGTCCCGGCACTTGCGCGAAACACCTGGCCTTGAGTAGTCGAAACCTATTAAGGTACTCTTCCATTGGCTCCGAAAACTTACGTTTTACGCTGGCCAGTTCTTTCAAACTAATTTTGGTCTGGCCCATGTAAAACTGCTCATGAAACAAGCGTTCAAGTTGGGCCCAACTACATATGGTATTAGGCGCTAGCGTTGTGAACCAAGTGAAAGCATTTTTTGTGAGGGAACTTGGAAAGTATTTTATCCTAAGGCTCTCATCATTCGCTATTTCCCCGACTTCTATCATATAACGAGCCACATGTTCGACAGTAGATTCTGTTGTATCCCCTAAGAATTTAGTAAATTTTTGTACTTTCGTCCTAGGAGGTAACTCTGTTTGAAGGATGTAATCTACTATCGGGGATGTAAAGTTTGGCCGAGTAAAACCAGTGTTTACTCCATTTCGAGCCATAATCCTTTCGACCATGGCCGCTAGGTTGTTGTCAATGGCTAGGTTATTGCGTTGAACTTCCTGGACCACGTGATCCACATCCTGGTTTTGGTTTATCACGACCACTCCTTAGTTTCCTTCGTCTAGAACATGGACCTGGTTCATTTGATTTTCTCTTATTGGTTCAACTACAGGAGGTTCGACTCTAACCTAGTTTTCTAAGTGTATTTCCCTTGCGTTTCTTACGTCCTGTCGAGGGACGTTCGCTATTGGGTTTTGATTTCTGGGTACAGGGGGTACTCCCATGAACTCAGCCAATTGTGTCAACTGCAGCGTCAATTATTGGTTGGTTTGGGTTGTGTTATGGATCAATGGCTGGAAGATTTCACCCATAGTCTGGGACAAAGTCTGAACCATTTGCATGTTGCTCTCGTCCATCTGTTGCCTTAAGCATGCGACTGAGGTATTGGTCAAGTTGGGGCCTTGCGTCGAATATCCCAGACTCTGGCCCTGGAAACTTCGACCAATGTTCGCACTAGATCCTGATCCTTGCAGCGGAGAAGTCACAGGGTTATTTGAAAAGATGGGGGGAGCATTTTGAAGCCCCTGCATCACAATTGTAGGCATTCCATATGTTGGATTCCTGGGTACCTGTACCAACCAAGGAAGAGGATTTTGTCTAGGCAGTGGGCTTCCTCCTAATGGTGTTTGAGGATTGGACACTTGGGGCCTGATATATTCCAATATTGGCTGACTATAGGGTTTTATTACAATTGACCCAGTCCCTAGTATCGAAGGTGTTGGTACAGGCCTTACCGGGAGCCCTATTTACTCTCCCGTCGATGGTATTGAAGACGACGCTCTGCCGTTTCTTGTTTCTTCACTAGAGCCATTTTGTTGGCCATTTGGCTGAACGGATTCCGTCACCATATTCCTAGTGTTACGTCATACTAAACTTTCTTCGTTTACAGTAGTTATTCTGCCACTTCTTAGTAACATAAACTGTATTTTGAAGACAAGTCGATAAGGCTTATATTTCTAAAGTTTTAGGATCTCAAAACTTTCTTTGTTTAGCACTGTCCCACCAGGTGTGCCATTTTGTTTACCGTGTTTTTTGGTAAACAACCTCTGGTCTATCAATTTGGTGTCAAATTGACTAACTTGCAGGATTGACCATACGAAATCCTAGGATATGTGCTAAAGGGTATTTCTATTTGAACTTATCTAAAAAATGTGTTTCGACAATACCAAGAAGAAGTAATTTAAAAGGGGCAGAACTATCCACTACGTTTAAAAGAAGGAAGGAGGAAGAATTACAAGAAGGAAAAGAGATAAAGGTTTTTTGGGAGAGAAAGACTTAGTCGAAGTAGTAATGGTGAACAAAAGGAAAGACGAGATAAATATGTAAAAGTACTTGACAAAAGTAAAGAAAACAAAGTAACTTCATTGAAAAGATAAAGGATGGTGTGTTTATATCGCGTACATTCTCTATAATACTCTCTTTCTCTACACTCGGATACTTGGAGTAATTTTAAGAGTGACTTGTACAACAGTAAATTACAACACACTTAAGTCTATGTCTAAGACTCCTATTTATAATAATAATAGTAACTGCTAATAACCTCCTTAGGCCATCTACTTCTGACAAGTGTCACACCGCATGCAATCCTTTGTCCGATGAGCGCCACTTGTCCTTCTTAGTCATAAGAAAAATATAACTACTCCCTCCAATATTCAAATTTCAAAACTCAATTCGTCCCCACTTCCAAATTCCGGTCGAAGGCCAATTTCGCTACTTAGGTCGAAATGTCTAGTTCCAAGAATTCAATTTTTCTAAGTCCTTGGATGTCCTTTAACAAGCTGAAATAGCCTCAAAATATGGGTCTTCAAATTGGCGAGCTAACAGAAGTTTATCCTCTTTCAATGATAAGTGGAAATCTTTTTCGAGAAGCTTATCCTCTTTTATGGTAAGTGGCAATCTCTTTCGAGAAGCTTATCCCTTTTGTCGATAAGTGGCAATCTCGTTCGAGAAGCTTATCCTTTTTCAACGATAAGTGGCAGTCTCTTTGAGAAGCTTATCCATTATTGGTGGTACATAAATCCTTTTACAGTGATAAGTGCTTATCTCTCTTTTGAGAAGCTTATCTAAAAGGCGTTTCCCAGTGAAGTCCAATTATTTTGGCATACAGGAGAATATAATTACCCTGTATTTTTCCTGATGTTTCCTGAAGATCCCGTTTGATCTCTTCGTTTAAGGAATTTCCAGAAGCTTGGATGTGTGAGAACTCCAGCACTTACCTGCGTGATCCTGTTGATTTAGGATCCGACTTTATCTTTTGTTCTATTGTGTTAGCTGGTCATGCTTGAACCTGTTGATCAACTTTAGATTTCCCAGTTGTTTCTTTTCCCCGGTGTTTGGTCATCCCCAGTGAGTTTGCTATTCATTGTGTTGACCGTATCTTCGTGTGCTTCCTTTCTTTGTCTGCATTTACCATCCCATCATTATCATCGTGATAGAATTCATTGCATGTAAGCATTGCATAGTTTTCTCTCTTTTTTTAGCATAGCACGTCATATGCATTCAGGATCAAAATTAAGTTCTTCTTGATATTTAACTATCTCTCACTACGATCATATGAAGAATAACTTTCTTCATTTTCTCTGGTTGGAGATATTTAAATAGGGGCAACTGTTATACCCTAATTTTGACCCTGAATTACCGACCATACATATCATTGAATTTTCATCATTTATGCATTATTTATGTCATCTGACCATTATGCCTATGAAATGTGTGCCTTCTGTTTCTGTATTGTCTAAGCTCAAGTATTACAAGATTGAATCAAGGACTAGGAAAAATTATCAAGTCAAGTGCGTGCGCAGTCTCGGTTGAAATCCAGTGTAATTTTAACTTAGTCGTGGTTAAACCAATGATTTGTTCTGTATCAAGTTATCGAGTTGTGGCAAAGGCAGTTTGTTAAAAGGTGGATGATCATCAGGGCAAATGCAGAATCAAAGGCTAAGGCATTTGATCAATGTTTCAAGTTGTTTGCAAGTCTTAATCATTAGGTCATGTCAATATCAGTTGGAGATAAATTTGGGATGTGGTTTTACTTCTCATGGATTTGATTCAGAGTCTCGACCCGTTTCTGGACCGCATTATGTTTGATTCCATTTCTCAAGGAATTGATTCATTATGATTAAGTTGTTTGATGTAGGAAGTGCAAGAGTTCTCGAGGTAATTTTTTCAAGTAGTCGTTCAATGATAAAATGAATGGTGTAAGGTCAAGCCCATATTTCATTCTTCAAGATCATTGTCCTTAAATTTCCAATTTTTCTTTCCACATTCTTTCTAAATATTAGTTCACAATTTCCATTCAAGGTTTAGCCACACCATTTCCAGTTTCATTTCGATTCTACCCAATTTTATTTCGATTCGTTTCAAATTTCAATTCAATTTCATTCCATTTCCAATCCATGTCCAAGTTTCCAATTTCCAATTTATTTCAATTTCCATGCCAACCTCCAAGTATTCACCAAAGTTTCAAGTTTTCAAGTCTAATGCATGTTTTAAGTTCTATTCAAAATTCAAGTTACAAAGCTTAATTTTCAATCCAAGTTTCAAATCAAGTGACAAATTCACTCCATATTCATTTCAAAATTCTAGTTTTAGAATTCAAGTTCAAGTTCCTTTCTAATCACATTCACTCTATAGCCATAAGGTCATTCCAAAAAGTTTGAGAATAAGTTATGCCAAAGGTTTCAAGACCAAGCTTCATTTTAGTTTCAAATTCATGTTAGGTTTAATTCCAAATCTATGCCCTTCCAAATTCATCCAAGAACTAATTTCGAACTTCCATTTGAAGTCGTGAACTCTTTCTTATTATTAAATTCGATTTTACTCAAATCCATACAAATCTATCCAAACATTGTCAACTTTCAATCACGTTTTTTCTCTCAAACCAAATCTTTTGAACCACAATTGGAGCTTTTACCATGCCAAGTCAAGTGAATTATTACAAGGATACAATCACACTTAGATTAAAAATTTAACATTTTTTGGGCACTATACCAAAATTGAGATATGAGGTCTAGGTTTGAGCCAAGTAAAAAGGAAATTCCTAAAACTAGAATCTTCAAAGTCCCAAAAGCCTTCAAGTCCAGTTTTGGTTGCAAGCCTTCTCCATATGCATCTTCTACCATTAGGAAATTTTGATCCATTTGCCTTGATTTGGTACCTAGTAGCAAAAAGAAAGAAAGTCATGAAAACTCATTGCTTTCATACATCATGATTCCAATTCCATGTCATTGATTAAATTCTGATACAATTTATCATGTTCTTACTCCAAACTCTTTCGAAATACAATTTACCCACCATCAAGTTCAATTCAATGGTATTGTTCACACAAATACTAGGCCATAAACAAGATTTAAAAAAAAAGATTTTTCAATCCATTCAAGTCAAGCTCGTTCAACTATATTTCAAGCTTTACAATTTAATTCATTCCACACACAAGCAAGTCCAACATTCAGCTTTGATGCAGTTCAAAACAACCCTAGTTTTACAATTTCACATTATATTCAAAATTGACTCATGTTCATTGGATTCCTATATTCATGTTCAAATTCATTCAAGTTTGTATCATTCAAGGCAAGCAATCAAACATATTTCAAACATATCAATTCAATTTGTTTTTTTAACACATACCACCCATCAAATTCCAAATACAAGGGGCGTTTCAGATTTTCAGTACAGACATGTTTCGTTTCCATCAGACATGGTCGTTTTTCTGCAATGAAAATGGCATAACAAACATTGGAACAAGGTTGTGAAGGGGTGTGCCAGCAGGGGACCACCACAAAACTGACTATAGACAAAACATAAAACATTTGCAGCAGGGGTTCGTACGGTTCCTCATCTCCACCCACAACTGTTTTCAAATCCTCATCTCACAACATTAACCCTAGTCTGGTCCTATATATATATATATACTACTGTTCATTCGTCATATAAAAAAAACCTAATTCTTTTACGCCGCAACCACACGGAGAAGCGAACTCTAGTTTTGCTACACACATAAAAAGAACCCTAAATAATTTCGATAAGGAATCCCTAATTCAAAGCAAGCCATACATGAATTCGTAGAGGGAGAGGAAGAAGAAAAGATAAGAGTCAGAAAGAGAGGAACGAGGCTTACTTGAACGTGTCTCGAAGCTTCTTTTGGAGCATTCTTCAAAGAGGTATCCTTTCGAACTTTGCTTCTGTTGATCTTGAGCTACCCATTTTGCTTGCTTGTTATAAGATGTTTGTCCTATCCTTCTTATTCCATTTTTCTTGATTCTAGTTAATTTACAACTAGGGTTTTATTTGGGAATTTTAAGATTCGTGGATCTAGAGTGGGTTTTTGTAGATTTGAACTTCAGATTCTTGATCTATGGGTTCATTTTAGGGGGTATAAGTTGGTATTTGGGTGTTTGGCCGGAGAAGAACGGCGGCGGCCACCGCGCGTCACCGTCTTCTCCGGCGAGATTTATTTTTCCAGCGAGTTTTATTGTGGATTGAAAGAAAGAGGAAGAGGATACTGAAGTTGAGAGAGAGAGAGAGAGTAATGAGAGAGGAAGAGAGCATTTGAAGGAGGGATTGATGATATCCCTATGGCTTCATTTTCAAGATGTTAGTCTAGATGATAACACTTGTCATCATCATATTACATCATCAGCATCATCATCCTGATCCTATGCACACTCATCCCTCCTTACAGTGCACGTTTCATCACAAGCCATGGGATTTGAGTCAAACTTTGGACTCCATGCAAGATCAATGGTCCGGTTTGGTGCGAGGGGTTAGGATTGGCTGAGGGTCCACGATGGGCCCTCCTTCTCCCAACGTTGAGTTTTCTTTCTGTTTGGCTTGGGCTGTTAGTTTCTTTCTGAACCCTCTAATGTTTTTTAGCCAGGCCCATTTCTCTTTCTTTTTTTTATATTATTATTATTTAGTTTTTTATTATTAGAAAACATATAGAAATGATTTGTTAAATATTTAATTATATTTATTATTAATTAATTAATTATCATTTTATTTTTATTATTAGAAAAATACACACACACACACATATATATATATATATATATATATATATATATATATATATATATATATATATATATATATATATATATATATATATATATATATATATATATATATATATATATATATATATATATATATATATATATATATATATATATATATATATATATATATATATATATATATATATATATATAATGATTTGTTAATTGTATTAAATATATTTACTATTAATTAACTAAATTATTAACTTATTTTTGTTTTATTTTTATTAGTATCATTATAATTTGTAGAAATATGTATATAGAGAAAATAATTTGTTAATTACGTCAAATATATTTTTAATTAATTAGATAATTAATTTACTTACTCTTTTTTTATTATTAGTATAATTGGTAGAAAAAGACGTACATATGATTTGTTAATCACATTAAATATGATTATTTTAATATTTTATTAATTTATTTCATTAAATATTCATTTTAAAATTTAATTAATAATTTGGTGTTGATAGTTTAGTTTAAACTGTGTAACTTCCGATTATTTATTATGGTCGCATGATTTTGTTATATGCTTTGTCTACGCCGTGATCATACTTAACAAAGTTCTTACATACCCATTCAAGATAATGATAATTTTTCGATCCAACGTCGAGCCACTTTCACCCCTGTAAGTCGAGTGCCTATGTCTCGCCATCAACCTTATGCTACATCCTTAGAATCTCCTATCTTCTAGTTCAATCGCTTTCGCTTCATACGTAAATTTAAACCTCGATCAACATCGAGTATTTTATCAAATCAAATCAAAATACTTATTTATACTTTAATACAATTTCAATAAAGATGAAAAGGGAGTTGGAATCGAGTCTTTGATACCTCTTCTCGATTGTTTGGGCCCGATGAGCTTTTCTTAAGTCCAAACAATTGCCTTCTCTAAAATATGTACAATGCAAAACGAATTCAAATCTATTTTCCTAAACACTTAGATGAAAAAGAGAGCGAGTCAAGTCTTTGACTCACTCTCCTGATTACTTGGGCCCGAGGAGCCTTTCTTAAGCCTCGAGTAATTGTCATCCGAACTAATTTACTCTAATTATATCAAAGCTATTTCATAATATAAGATGAAAAAGAGAGGGAGTCAAGTCTTTGACTCATTCTCCTGATTACTTGGGCCCGAGAAGCCTTTCTTAAGCTTCAAGTAATCCTCATCCGTTTAAAATACTTCAACCATCTTCCATCATTCAATGCTTTTCCTACGCAACCTCTTTTCTAGATGAAAACGAGAGAGAGTCAAGTCTTTGACTCACTCTCCCGATTACTTAGGCCCGAGAAGCCTTTCTTAAGCTTCGAGTAATCGTCATTCGATTAACCTACTTGAGCCATATCCAACTCTTATACATTTAAGATGGAGAAGAGAGAGAGTCAAGCCTTTGACCCACTTTCCCGATTACTTGGGCCCGAAGAGCCTTTCTTAAGCTTCGAGTAATCGCCATCCGATCAGCTTACTCAAACCACATCCTATCCTTTCGCAATTTGGGTTAAAAAAGAGAGAGAGTAAAGCCTTTGACTCACTTTCTCGATTACTTAGGCCCGAGAAGCCTTTCTTAAGCTTTAGGTAATCATCACCTCTAGCTAAACATCTGATACGTCAAACCTCGTTTCCTCGCCCCCATTCGATCAAAACCCTAAAACCTATTCAAATCTATTCTCTTCTCCAAACATAAACATCCAACACATCAATACATCAACTCATTTAATCTCAATTTTCTCTCCGTCGTGCGAACTATCAAACCTTTTCATAAACGTGAGATTTGGTGTCTTAAGACGACGCAAAATCTTGCTTCGTCTGTAACCTATTTGAGTCGATATAAGTGGCGTGTTTCCCATGAATGTTGATATATGGAAATCCATTCAAAGTGATGCAAGCGTCCTCTCCTCACCCGTTTAGATAAAGCAATACTTTTGTCGAATATGACTAAGTATCTTTCGATAAAGTCAAACCAACATTCGCAGTCCGAACTATGGACGCTCTGATTTTTCATTTGTCTATGAGAATACGTAGGCACAAGATTGCGATGATCTTGGTGAGCATATTTCCCTTCACAATTCATCAACCTCCTCTCTTTTCTACCATAGTCCCACGAACTACGGACGCTCTGATTTTCCACTTCTTACAAGTGAAAATACGTAGGTACAAGGGCCCCAATCCTTGGCGAATACCCTTTTCTAAAACCACCCTTTTCCCCCTTAGCATTCTAAACCCTTTTATATTACCTTTTATTTTTGGAAGAAAACAAACAAGCTAAGCTAACATTTCTCATGAATCGAATCAAGAGGTTCCCGTTGAGTACAACGGACATGAGGGGTGCTAATACCTTCCCCTTATGTAACCGACTCCCGAACCTAGAACTTGGTTGCAATGACCATGTTCTTTCCCTAAAGGTTTTATCGATATTTTCCAATTCCATAATGGAATGAATAAATTTCGGTGGCGACTCTGTTCAAATTTTTTTTTCGCGACCATTCACGAAGGATCGTGCTTTTTCAAGGTACGACAGGTGGGACGACTTCCCGTTGTCTGTTAGAGGAGTGTCTTCAGATTCCGCGCTTTGCTCCTGCTTGTTGAGGAAGCAGCTGTCGAGGTCGACGGAGTTGACGCGGGGAAGTGGCTTATACTCCTTAGCCTGGGTTGGTCGAATTGGAGTTGATATTGATCGAGTTAAGCCCTTTGAGTGCCGCCTCGAAACATCTCCTGGCCGCCTCAATCTCCCCGTGGAGGATGACGACCCGACCCCTGGTCGTGTAGTACTTCATCTTTAGGTGGACTGTAGATAGTACCGTGGTCAGTTTAGCCAAAGTCGGCCTTCCTAAGATGCACTGGTACAAAGAGGGGCACTCGATCACCAAGAATCAGACCTTCACCTATCTAGAGGTCTCCTCAGTCCTGAATGTGACTAGCAATTCCGCGTATCTCCAAGATTTTGTGGTGGTGTCGTTGAAGCCCTATAGGTCAGAGCCGACATACGAGGTCAGGTGGACATACATCAAAGTATGTTTGAATCTTTTGATTTGTTTAATTAGTTATTTCCACTCACCCATCAATATATGTCCATTGATTTGTAAGTTAATAAGTTTTTAAAAGAAATTTCTTGCAACCTCATAAATCTCATACATAAATACAACTTTTTTATATGATGAAATGAATTTCTATTACAGTTTTTTATTTGTAATTTTTTATAAGCTATTAAATTTTTAAAGAGATATATTTTTCTTGTTTTAAATTGCTTGTGACTAGGTTTCCATGGAAATTAATTTAGGGGTTTCATAGCATTTGTAGTTTTTTTTAAAGAGAATTATTTTTTTATTGGTTGAATTTGTATTTTACATTTTTATCACTCTAATATATATTTTAATTTTTACAGGTTTAGTTTTATAATGACAAACATTACAACACCTACTGTCAACATGGAATTTGATAGTATAGATGAAGCTTGAAAATTTTGGCTTGATTATGAAAAAGAAGTTGGTTATGGGTTAAAGAAACAATACCTCAACAAAAGAAATGAAGATGGATCCATTAGATCATGTAAATTTGTTTATTGCAAAGCGGGTAATCGAATGACAGATAAACAATCTTTTTTAGTTAAGAATCTCAGGGCTGAAAGAAGAACTGAATGCAGAGCAAGAATTGCTCTTAGTGTAAAAAATGAAAAGTTTGTAATCCAAGAGTTCATAGAGGATCATAATCACCCTTTACAACTTGCTGAAACAACACACATGCTAGTATCGCACCGTAAAACATCTGAAATTCAAGCACATGAGATTGAAATGAGTGCACATGCTGGCGGAAGAGCTAATCTTGGATATATACGATGGATGCTAAGAATTACCTCAAAGCAAGAAGACAATGAAGCATGGTATATGAAGAAATTGGTTGTCTCATGGAGTATTTTCAAACTAAATTATTGGAGAATCCTTCATTTTACCATGCATCTCAAATGGACTGCGATGAACAAGTCACAAATGTGTTTTGTGCTGATGTAAAAAATGTTTATTCACATGAAGAATCCCTTATGTTAAACCTTTGATTTCTCTTATTTTTATTTTCAAAATTTGAGAGATTATATGTATTGATTG